TTTTAAAAATTCTGTACATGTGATTCGACCCAGTTAGACCCACAGAAAAATGTTTTATCTGGATTGTCCATAAAAGACTATTAACCATTTTCTATCAAATATTAACTGTGTGCTAGAATGTATGACTGAAAACATATGTTCGAATTTAAAGGATATATTTTTCAAAAACAATACCAGCATTGCAATTATGCTTCCCTTGTTGACGTTCATATTAAACTGGATATCTACATCAATTACGTAAAAGCAAATTTTACAAATATTTCGATTTCATTTTCAGATATATTGATGATATTATGTTTGCCAACATTCATAACTACATTGATTATACATCATTATATATCCAGCTGAATGTTTGATTACTGAAAATCTACGTCTTTTGCTATATACAAAAATCCGTGCCCTGGAATTACACTCTGAAGTTCCGCTTTCTACTAGATTGTATAATAATACAGATGATTATAATTGTATCATCACTAATTTTCGACATATGTATAACAATATCCACCTCTATGCTGCCTCATGCCATGTATATTTCCTAGCTCGTGAGTTATACTAGGAGGGTTCGTAATACATAGGCACATTTCTGTCAAAACTATTAAACCAAGCGTTTAGTGGAGAATGACTGGCATTAACCTATAGATACAATAAACTTCAATACAATAGTAGTTAACTACAAATAAAAAACTGTTACATAGACGATCTCATATGACATCAATGTCACTTAGATCAGGATGTGCTCAATTTTTGAAGCAGTACCTTACATCACTCCATGTAATGTAGCGTACTTGTCAGTTGCTTTGCTTGTTTGTGTGGACGATTGCTTTGTCAATTGTTCCCAGTTGTTTTGAAAATGGTCTCCTTAAATTTGATACGGTGTGGGCCACTAGTAGAAACCTACCAATGGATATTGTGTCGAGTTTCGTTTGCCCATTGTTATCAATATTTTACGTGGGAGGAGCAGAATATACAAAATTATTTTGTATCATGATGTCAGAAGTTGACACTGGTGTTAAACTTTATTGAAAATTATTCATAATATTTACAAAATGTAGGAGTGTGGTAACATTACACATATTGATCACAGTGATACAGAAACATCAATTAGCTCACAGAGACGGAGACACAGTAATATTTTGAGGGCAGTATAGTTTGAAATTAGAATTCCTTACATCCAAATATCAGAGCAGTAAATTGTGATAATTGAACATGACATCGAATGCACTAATGTATGTATGTTATGCATATGAAGGTTTAGTACGTACTCTAGACTGTGTATTTTAAATAGAGCTAGGCGCGTTTAGTACACATGATCTAAAAGAAAGTCTTTTAATCATCACACATCCTCATAATCCGACTATATTAAAACATTTTTAGAGACATATTTCTGAGGTAGTTCATAAAAATTAATTTCCTTACATTAAAAATAGTATGACGTTTCCGAACTATTCACGTCAATATTTATTGTGCTAATGGATCTGTTTACATAGCGTCTGTGCAGATGCAGTAAATTGTTATCTAGTTCAAGGGGTAGGTGGGGTGGGGTGGGTATTCACTGTACCACCAGCAGTGTGAAAATGCACAAAAATACTCTGTTGCCAATTTATACAGTTTTAACTCTATTTCATGACTAATTAATTAAATTAAAAACCTGATGTGACTGTTGTACAAGAAACTGGATCAACACGCCGTTTGATATGACGTGGAAGTGAGTTTATCTATTTATCAAGTTTAAACATTAGGGTTAAAACGGGGGAGTCGTCACCTACGCATGCGTCAGATGGCCATAGCGTGTCATTGTTTACAAACAAACGTCATCGCTTGAACTAGTTTGACAAATTTTGCACAGACCAATATAACCTAAATGTCTGTAGTGTCTAAATAGAAAAATGAAAAAAAATCACTACATATGACTTCCCTCAAGAAGAAGACGGCACGGCATGGCAGAGTCGCAGTGATTTGATAACTTTGATGTTTGAAATGTAGCAAAGTGATAGCCTTGGCATTAAGCATTATTTGTCTTCGAGTAGGTATGTATAGAATGTATATGCAAAGAAATCAATATTACTATGAAATAATAATGCCTATTTCTGAGCAAGATATATATGCTGGAGTGTAATACATGTAATGTAACTTTCCAATTGTCCGCTGCGAGAAATAATCTGAAACTCATTTAATAGGTAAAAACAACAGAAAACAACAAAAAAATTAAGAATATTATTTATTGTGAATTGCTTCTAGACAAAGTATTTGACTAAGAACATTCAGTGTCGATTGATACACTTTTTTAAAATACATTTCTCTATATTGTGATCCATACATTCTGATTGACCGGAAGTGTAGTGACCCCCATCACGTGCTTCTGTTTACAATGCAGTTGCACCACATAATTATTGTAGGTAAAATTAGTGATCTCTTTTGTCCATAGCTTCCACAACATGACCATTTGACCTCTCACTGTTCTTCTATGCAACCGCTAAAATGGGGAGAATCCCAAACAATGTAACAGCTATGTCACTGCCCCAGTACTTAGAACATTCCCTACACATGCATTTAAGGACGTGCTGCTTAATGACGCATTAAAACGTTTACAAAGATATGGTGTTGTGATAAGCCGTTTAATTTACATAAGTCTTCTAACCACCTGCATAACATCGCCAACAAACTGTCAGTGACAGCATATTTGGGAAACCAATGTCTATATAAATAGTCACATAGCCTCAGCTAAGTAACATGTACCACTGTAAGTATTTATTGGCATCCACTGGTAGTGATAAGATCAATTGTAACATGTTTGAATAGAGTATAAAATCACGGGCATGCCACCAAAAGGAAGGTGTGCAAATTCCCATCAGGTAAGTGTAGCAGTAATGAGGGAGTCAATAGAGGTGACCAAACTTTCCACATCACTCCTGATAGTAGTTGTTAATAATTTGCCGTCTTGCCCAAATTTGATATGAGCGTCAATCAATATGTTGAGAATTGTGATATCTAGCTGGGTTGTTCCTTTTTTCTATTTTACAGGTTTGGCCACGGATTTGCCACGATTTGTGTTGTAGGAGCATGTCTCATTCCACACTTCGTTTGGGTTCTCAAGAACGCCAACATTTCATGCCTCCACGTGCTATACTGTTTACAAAAGAATAACATATTGTTTAGTGCTTCCATAGTGTGCACAACACTTACAATGTTGATCAAGTGTATCAAGCAGTGTTCAAGTCGAACCGCTAATTGTTTTGTGCTCTCGAATTGTGTAGGGTGCGCTAGATATAATGATTTGAGATAATGCCCCTCTTCAATCAACCTGTATGCCTTCATAATAACGCACTGGGCCCGTCCCAGTTACGTCTCTCATCTACGACAAGTGTATTGTTAACTGCCTCCCTGTTAATTGATCACTAAATGCCACACCCAAAATATCTCATTTCTACCCAGTACTCTGAGCAAAAATGTCATACTTAAAATCTTGGGCAAAGGGAGAAGAATTCACTTATTTGCAGTTCTAATAATGTTGAAATAAACCGGTGGCAGCCTCTCTTTCAGCTTCTATTTTGGCAATTTCAGTTAATTGCTCTAACTTCTCGACTTTAGTAGCTGGCTGTTCGGCCTTGTTCAAATCTAGAATTTTTGTTATTCACACAATTGCGGCATGTGTGAAAATTCACAGTACACATACTGTTTTACAATATTGATCACAATGATGTAATAACATCAATTATTCTACAGAGGAATGAGATCAATTTTGTTCATAGCGGTAAATTGTGAAAACTGAAGATGACATCGAATGAACTCTTGTAAGATTTTTTATGTTTCGTTATAGTTTTTAGACATAGTTCAATTAAGAAAAAATTCTCATGTTGACATGAGTACACTATTTTCACAATAATTAACTGTGATCGATCCCATGATTCACATTCCAATCGCACGTGCCATTTGTTATGCTTATTGAGTCAACCAGGTATGTATGCATGCTGTTTTTACCTTCAGCAGAATTCTGTGAAAATAAACGAATAACAAACTTTAGATCGGTCATATTGATCACTGAGATGTGAAACACATTTAACAGATTCATCTCTTCAAAATGTCTCCCTGTGATTATCAGTGTAATCTCCCAAACGTCGACATCGTATTAAGTAATGTGCGCGCATATGTGGAAATAGAATGTGCCAGAAGCATGTACAAGTACAAGAAGAATAACTAGAAGTGGTGAGACACGATAGTTTCCCCACAAATAGCATTCAGT